CCTTTTGGTTTACTTTTGTGTTTACAATGTCGATAAACATCATGTGTTGGCCAATTTCCGGGTGTTATTGAGTATTTGAAGCACGGGAATATTCCATTTGAAACCTCCGGCTATTTCCCGTGCTTCAAATACTCAATAACACCCGGAAATTGGCCAACACATGATGTTTATCTCCTAAATGAAATATAGCAAATTCCACACTGGGAATGCAGACTTATCCGTCTTTGGCACCAACTCGAGGAAAGTCACTTTGAGTGTCACATGGAGACGTGCGGTGACGCTGAAGTCAATACCTCGTGTGACCACCGTGGGCATCCAGAACTGCACGGCATCGCCTCGGCATCGAACGAATAAATCTCAGAATCTCGTGTTGCCCAATCTCAGCCCACTCTGCCTGTAGTGCCTGTGCGAGTTGCTGAAGTGTCTTGGGCTAAGGGTTACGGCGTCGCACCCGTCTGTCCAGGGCATCCCACAGATGTTCGATCGGGTTTAAGTCCGGTGATCTTGAGAACTAGATTCTACGCGAATTCGGTATAATCCCGAGCCTGAACGTTGGTGCACCATGGAACTCGATGTCGACGATGTTGTTGTCGAAGCACAGGGCCTAAATAAGGTCTTCTGGCACGTAAACCAGCCTCTCTCAACCTGTTCCTGACGGTCTGTGCAGAAAGCCTCCTCAATCCGGGTATTTGTCGAGCGATACTGGTCGCCGTAGCTGTTCGATGACGCAGGTGATGTACCCGGATGTAGCGATCCTGCGCGGCAGTGGTCGCTCGAGGTCGCCCACTAAGAGGGGCATCTGCTACCGCATTCTGTCGGCGATATCTCTCCAAGAGCCGTGAAATGGTGCTTTGGTGAACATTCATGCGTCGGGCAACTGCACGTTGAGACTGGCCAGCTTCAAGCAAACCAAAGGCGATATGACGGTTGGCTTCACGTGGCATTTTGCGTTCGTCAACAATATTCCAAATACAGTGAATAATCGACAGACAGCGATCAACCTTTTATATCCATCATTGAGACTATCTGATCCCCAACTTTCACGTGCATTGCATGTTAATTGTGTATTCTGTGACACTACACGCCGAAATTGAAAATCATTCTGTTAAATACGGGTATTTTACGGATGGTGCGTTTTGTTGTGATGTTTCAAAACATAAACACCATAGGACTCATAAACAGAGAAAAACAATTTGTAAAATGAATCACGTTTTAATTCATTGCTACATGAAATTGCTATTTTCATGACGCCTTTCTTTTTTGGGAGAGTATATTATATGCAGAGTACGATCTGTGATCTGCACCTTCCTAACGCACGCAACCCGTGAAGATCCGGGTTAGTATTGATCTTCAGTAACCCATATTTGCCGTAAGACGCGACAAACGGGATGAAGTGGTCAGACACGCTGACTTGGTTGACATATGTCATAGGTTCCCAATTGAGTAGATCGATGCTCATGCTGTTGATCACTGGATTGTCTGGTGTTAATCTGAACTCACTCACAACCAGAAACGCTATAAAACGGTCATCGCAAAACACACAATTAACAATTTGTCATATGTTCATCGGTGACAAATACCACAGGAAGTATTGGTTTGTTTCTGGTCACGAGAACCGTCCGTATACTGACAACACTTTGCTTTGAAACCATGAACACAATCATCAACAACATTACCTATCTTCTATATTGTGGTCCTTCGTTGACAGGGTTTAAATTGAAATATTGCCGATGTGACTTTAAATTTTAACTCACTCACTCATTCTATATTGTGGACCCATGAAGATTAGAATTGGTCCTCAGTAACCCATGCTTGTCGTAAGAAGCGACTCATGGGATCGGGTGACACATAACATCGTCCTGCCATTGCGTTGATCGATGCTCAGGATCACTGGATTGTCTGGTCCAGACTCGATTATTTACATCACAGCTGTAATATTGCTCAGTGCGACGTTAAACAACAACGAACCAAACAATCATACAATGTGAACGCACTACTGATTTCACACCCAATCAGTGCGCCCAACGCAGATTCCAGAGGCCACAGGCCCGAGTCAGGTTAGCTGCCGAGGCCTTCCATAGAGTCGTGAAGGAGATGTCACCAAACCTTCATGCAGTTGGAGTGAGTGAATGAGTTTGGTTTTACCCCTCTTTTAGCAATATTCCAGCAATATCACGGCGGGGGACACCAGAAATGAGCTTCACACAATGTACCCATGTGGGGATTCGAACCCGGGTCTTCGGCGTGACGAGCGAACGCTTTAACCACTAGGCTATCCCACCGCCCCCACATGCTGTTGGATCAGACTTTGGATAAGGATTATCAAACTAATCCTACTCACCCTTATCTTTATCAGGCTTAATCCTTTAAGCATCAGAAGTGGGGAACCCCTACCCGCAGGTCATCCCAACTTCCGAAGTTCCCGAAAGAACTGGAACAAAGTGAGTGAGTGCCTTTTATAGTTTTACGCCGCTTGTAGCAATATTCCAGCAATATCACGGCGGGGGACACCAGAAATGGGCTTCACACATTGTGCCCATGTGGGAAATCGTACCCGGGTCTTCGTCGGGACGAGCGAACGCTTTAACCACTAGGCTACCCCACCACCCTGAACAGGAAAATCTTTATCGAGGATTGGGATAATACCTAGGCATAGCTAGCAGATTTCAGGCCCCCCACACGACCCCCTAATAGAGGGGTGGTGTGGGGTTGACTGGGGTATGGTGATGCACCCATATCCTGCACAGGCTTTGTAGGCGAACATGTATTTGTCATGCATAGGCAAACAAGCCCAAGTATTCAACTTTTAAATTGTAACATACACCAACACACAGTCTCAGACATGTCAGGTGAGTTGAAATTGGGTTTAACGTCGTGCTTGAGAATATTTCGCTCATATGACGACAGACATGTCAGGCACCATATAGCCAACATATAACCCCGTACACTGACAACAAAAAGAATGATGCTTTGAGGTATTGGGGCACCTGACTAAACCTAAATGCGTGGTAGTAGAGGTAACTCCGGGTGGTCCTGAGACTTACAAGATATACAAATCATTTTTTTAATTTGTAGAGTACCTATTATTAAACATTTTTGCAACTGTCACAGGATATTGTTAGCAGCAGAAAATACACATATGTACCCAAAGGAAGACCGCTTCTGAAACAGAATGTAACACTCTTTGGAAAGGACCCATACACAGCATAAGTCAACAAACCTGAGTGAAATTATTCACATTACTGACGTGTCTGTGTCTTTTGACTTCAGTGTGAGTGGGTATGATTTTACGCCTCTTTTAGCAATATTACAGCAATATCTCGGTGGGGAACACCGACGAGCACACATTCTATCAGTGTGATGGAATCGGCGTGACGAACGAACGCTTTAATTACAAGGCTACCATACCACCCAGGTAATGTGATAGACAAGATTCAGGAAAGCATGGCCAATGTGCAGACCCGGCTTATGATATGTCACCCTTGCATCAAGTTGTCCGAATATCAATTAATTGTTCTTGGTGCCTTAAGTTCGGTATCTCCCAGCCTCTGGTCTGACACTATGACAGTACCCAGGTCAGACTACACACGGGGTAATGCAGAAGGAAGTGTTGTGGACCATTTACATCCTCCGAAAAGTTCATGGTGGGATCGACAATTCGCTCTTCCTGTGAGATGTACAATTCGTTGTCTGATCTGCGTGTATGAGGGGCGTGGGTCCTGTGCTGATGATGAGTGAGTGAGTTAACATTTTACATCTCATCCGCAATATTACAGCCAGGCTATAGATTGCCAACAATTGAAGGTAGAATGTTGAGAATTTAATTCAGTCTTATTGAATATTCAGTCTTATTGAATAGGAAATGTATACAGTAACAGAAAACCATTTGACTCAATGGACGTGTATCCACAGCAGTCTCTAGTGCCAGTTTGAAACACTTGATATAAGCATAGCTCATCTTTATTTTCTTAGTCTGCCGCGATAGTGCTGGAATATTGCTGAAAGCGGCGTAAACCAAATTCACTCACTATTTTTTAGTTATGTTTATATGTACATGGCACATCATATAATTACAAAAAGGCTGTTGAGAATAGTTATTTTATAGTGTATGATAATCTCAACCAGAAGTTTGAACTTTAATGGTTTGTCATAGCAATGACTTCTCCCTTGCAAAGGTATATAATGATGTCTCCCTGCTATGCAGAGCGCGGAGTTTTCATGTAGCCGACAGACGGCATGGTCTACCCTGTATCACTCGCTTATGAGCAATTTGGTGTAAAGACACCACTCTTCAGGTATTTTATTCCATTCTATGTCAAGAAATAAGTTTAATACAGTAAAGTAACAAAAGTTGTGAACATTAAATGTAAATTAATGTAGTTGTAGTGTTAGTTTTACACAGTGTTCTCAGTTTTCGTGCACTTCGATGTGCGAGGTATACCTTCATGGGAGTTCGTTAGTTTCACATTAGCGAAGTAATAATCGTTCATGTTAGAGCAGTGTCTGGTAAGAATTATTCATTATATTTTGCTAGTATTTTCACAAAGAGTTAATTTTGCATATTTTGTGAAAGGTGTAAAGAGCAGTGATAGTATTATGCACCAGTGTCAGTGTCCGACTGTCTAGGTATTATTTTCAGCATTCAGTAATAGTGTGGATGCTTTGGATATTTATGTCAAGTACATGACATAATTGGATAGTTTATAACTTTAAGTATATTTTCATGTTAAACGTGAGGCATGTGTATTATTAGCAGTTTAACTGTTAATTTCAGAACGCACAAGATATTCATCGAGTCAACTAGTTCTTGCTGTAAGCAAGTATATGATGGTGAATACAGTTGAAGATTACTACACAAATTGCTGACGTGTTTGTCCTCTTTGCCTTATGCACCAAATATTTCTGAAGAGAGATTACTGAAGATTGGACCCTCATTTCTGTGCCGACCCAGCAGGCAACTAGGAGGCTTCAGTGTTTGGACTAAGGTTAAAGTGTGAAAGATGAAGGGACAGGTAGACACCGTTATTCAGATGGATAAGAGAGAAGAGGGTACCACAGATAGTCAGGGTACAGAGGGTAGTGGCGGGGCTACCACTAGCCTGAGTTCTTCAAATAATGAAGAGAGAATAACTTTTGTTAAGAATAAGAGAAAGGCTTTGAGGGGCAAGATTACAAGAAGTATTAACAGAGTAAGAGGATCTATTCAGAGAAAGGATACAAATCAGAGAAGATTTCTGAGAGAATTAGAGGCAATTAGGTCAGACTATGGTCTGGCATGTGACTTTCATGGTGAACTCTATTCATATGTTGATGAATCTCAAGTGCAGAAGCTGGATCAGTGGGAGAGTGATCTGATTGAAGACATGCATACAATAGAGGAGGAAGTAGAGGATTATTTGATGTCTCTAGATAGAGAAGACACAGAGCCCTCAGCAGGGAAATCAGGATCAAATAGTACCAGAGCTACAAGAAAGAAAGATGAACACTCTTCTAAGTGGAATGATACAGAGAGCTCTGGAACACAAGATAAACATTCAGAGACTAATAGAACTGAACAGAAAAATGTGGAACCCATTCCATCAACTTTTAGTGAATCTGGATCAAACAGTTTTGCTTTCGATTCATGGATAAACAATCTTGTGGAGTTTCAAGAGACCAACCTGCCATCTGCTGTGAGTAACATGTCTGTGGCTGATGCACTTTACAAGCTTGAGGCAAGTAAAGACATTCCCCCAGTAAAACTAGGGAAATATGATGGTAACCCACTAGATTATGTTGATTTTATTGAACGGTTCAAGATTCACATTCATGACAAACCCCATTTGTCAGACGACTTGAGGATGGTACAACTTCGTATGCATCTGACAGGTGATGCAGAGCGTGCTTTGTGCAGTTTAGGATCCAGTGGCTCCATGTATGCGACAGCAATCAAGATGTTGCAAGATCAGTTTGGACAGCCAAGTCTAATTGCTCGTGCTATTGTGAACAAGTTGACCAAGGGAGCAAAGATTCCACCAAATAACAGAAATGCTCTTCGGGACTTGTCGCTTGATCTGATTAACAGCATAGCAACTTTGAAGAGGCTGAATCATTTTGCGGATGTCAATGCTAATGAGAATCTCAGAAAGATAGTGTTGAGATTGCCAGGTTATCTCATAGAGAAGTGGAAGAGTTTCGTCACAAGCCTGAGAGAGAAAGGGGACACACCTTCAGTGATTCATATAAGTGACTTTGTTCGTCAACGCGTCAAAGCTGAATTTGACCCAGATTTTGGTGATCTTGACAGACTGAAACCTGATCACCGACATGAGAGATCCAGAGAGAATGAAAGGACCAGGAGAGGGATCTACTCTCAACAGACAGTAAAAAGAGCTGTCAGGTGCTATCTTTGTGCAGAAGATCATCGGATTTCACACTGTCCGACATTCCTGGACAGCGATGTGAATGACCGCATACAGAAGACAAGAGATATGAGGTTATGTTTTTCTTGTCTTGTGAAGGGACACACAGCCAGGGAATGTAGGTCTAAAAGAGCATGCGGAAAGGACGGATGTACTCGTACACATAATGAACTTCTCCATATCAGTCCACCTGTAGCGAGTGCGTGCTCACCAGCGCTTGATCGTGATGGGATTTTGCCAGTTATTAGAGGTATATTTAGAGGAAGTAATGGAAAACTGAGAGAAGGAAATATTCTTGTTGACAGTGGAGCTTCAACCTCAGTTATTAGAAGAGACTTTGCTAGAGCATTAGGTTTGCAGGGAAAACATGAAAGGTTAGATGTGTCAGTTGTCGGAGAGGAAGTCCTGCAAAATGCAAACAGTCGACGACTCAAGTTTTGGTTGTCATCCTTGGATGGAGGAGAAGAATGGCCCATAGAGGCATATGAACTTGAGAAAACAGTGACAGGTGTACCTGCTTTGGATAGTCAGTGGTTACAGTCATTTTCCCACCTTTCAGATTTGAGCTTTAATCACAAAGCAGGACCAATAGACTTGATATTGGGGATACAATATTCTCACTTACATGCGGAAATAGAGAATCGACAAGGTTTACCGTTTCAACCAATTGCAAGAAAGTCAGTGCTTGGATGGTACGTCCTTGGGCCTGATAACACAAAGAGAATGTCAACAGTTTGTTCAGTCAATTTCATGGAAAAGATTAACTTGGAGAAATTCTATGACTTTGAAACTATTGGGATCCAATCTCCCAACTGCAGCTGTCCCAAAGAATCTATTTCAAGTGATGATAAGACGGCCATGGAGATGTTCAAGGCATCCTGCAAGAAAGTTGGAGAGAGATATGAAATAGCCTTGCCTTGGAAGATGGATCCGCACATGCTGCCGGACAATTACCCTCTCGCGGAAAGGAGACTTTGTTCACTAGAGAGGAATCTTCTCAAGAATGAAGATAAAGCAAAGATGTATGATAACGCCATGCAAGAGTATGTGAAAAATAAATGGGCAGAGCCAGTCAGTGAGGAATCAAGCGACGCAAGTCCAGTCTACTATCTTCCACACCATGGAGTATATCGACCAGAGAAAATAAGTACGCCACTTCGGATTGTATTTGACCCAGCCTGTATCCATAAAGGGACATCTCTGAATTCATTCTTGTACAAGGGACCATGTTTGATAGGCAACTTGTATGGAGTTTTGCTCAGGTTTAGGGAGGAAGTGGTTTCCTTTGTAGGTGACATTTCCAAGATGTATCTCCAGATTCTCTTGCCAGAGAGTGACACCCAGGTTCATAGGTTTCTTTGGAGAAACTTAGATGTCAACAGGAAACCACAAATTTATCGTCTGCTTCGAGTGACATTCGGCGATAAACCGTCTCCGGATATGGCAAGTTACGTCATCCTTCATATTGCTGAAGAAAACAAGGAAGAGTTCCCTGAAGCAGCAGTTGTGCTTCAAAGAGATAGATACATGGATGACCTGATTCATTCCTGTTCATCACCAGAGCAAGCAGTACAGAAGATCCAAGATCTGGACAAAATTTTGTCTACTGGAAGTTTCCACATTAAGGAGTGGTACTGTTCTTCAGAGACTGTACGTGAAAAATATCAAAGAAGGAAGGGGATTCTGAGCAGCATGCATCAGTGATCGGTCTTGATAGCGAAGATGTCAAAACCCTAGGTGTAGTATGGAACCCAGTGAAGGACACTATTCAGTTTCGAGTTGCAAATTTGTGTGTTGAGACATTTACAAAGAGAAACGTCTTGTCAAGAATATCAAGAATCTATGACCCGCTCGGCTTGGCATCGGCTGTGACAATTACAGCCAGGATGGCGATGCAAGATGTGTGGCGGATGAAAGAGTTAGGATGGGATGACCCCCTTCCAGATACTATGTGTTCCCTATGGAAGAGCATATTTGGAAATCTGAGACAGCTTGATACAGTGTCCTATCCAAGATGTTTGAAACCAAATGAGGTGACTGGACAGTCTGAGTTACATGTGTTTGGGGACGCAAGTGCCCAAGCCTACGGTGCGGTTGCGTATATGTCATGGCCTACCTCAGAGGGACCACATGTGCAGCTAGTTTCAGCAAAGGCAAGAGTTGCTCCATTACAGCAGACCACAGTCCCCAGGTTGGAGCTGATGGCGGCGTTAGTTGCGTCAAGACTCGCAACGACGATAGTTCAAGAGTTCAAAGAAAAACCATCAAGAGTAATCCTGTGGAGTGATTCACAGATTGTTCTCCATTGGATAAGAGCTGACTCTCTAAACTTCAAAGCATTTGTTGGAGTCAGAATAGGAGAAATACAGTCTACTTGGAATGCTGATCACTGGAGATATGTTCCGACATCACTAAATGTTGCTGACGATCTCAGTCGCGGAATATCAGTATGTGAGTTAGGAGGAAGATGGCTTCATGGACCGTCTTTCCTTCATGGTCCAGAAAGTCAGTGGCCAGAGAATATCGTAAAGAATACAGTGTCCAGTGAATTACTAGAAAGGAAGAAGCCAAAGATCATCGGCATGTGTTCATCTGTGGCAAATGTGATTGTTTCAGAGAGATTCTCAAGTTGGAAGAAGCTATTGAGAGTGACAGCCTATTGTTTCAGATTCTTACTTAGATTGAAACAGAGAGTGATAAGAAAGACAGCTCAAATTAGAGTGACTGAAGACAGTCTACAGTGTGAAGAAATTGAGCATGCTGAGAGGTACTGGGTGAAAACAGTTCAGCTTTCACTATTGGACTGGGAAACACAGTACTTGGATCTCGCGCCATTCATGGAAAATGGAATCATCAGAGTTGGCGGCCGGTTGCGTCATACAACAGCGTTACAATATGACGAGAAACATCCCATTCTACTACCCAGGGGAAATCATGTGTCAAAGCTTATCATGGAAGATGTTCATGTGAAAGTGGCTCATGCAGGCCAAGAGAGAACACTAGGTGAATGTCAGAGAAAGTTCTGGATATTGCGGGGTAGGAACCTTGCAAGGTATGTTGTACGAAATTGTGTTGTGTGTCGAAAGTTGCGACAACCTGCACATACTACTGTGATGGCAGATCTCCCACCTGAGAGACTTCGTCCATTCTCGCCACCGTTCTCGGTCACAGGTGTTGACCTATTTGGACCATTCCTTCTAAAATATGGGCGGAATAAAACCACAAAGGCATGGGGCGCTTTATTTACCTGCGCTAATGTGAGAGCTATTCATCTGGAAATAGTGGACGGGTTATCAACCCAGGCTTTTCTCCACGCTCTACGTCGCTTTGTGTCGCATCACGGGTGGCCGGATACCATTATATCAGATAATGGGACCTCCTTTGTAGGAGCACAGAAGGAATTGAGGAGTTTAGTAGTGGAAGGAAGGAAGGACATTGAGAACTTTGCAGTATTGCATAAAGTCAAGTGGAAATTCATAACTCCACTTAGCCCACATCAAGGGGGACTTTATGAAAGTTTGATCAAGCAGACGAAGCGTGCACTGAGTGTTGCTATAGGTCAACAAGTGTTGTCATGGAACGAGATGTCTACTGCATTTGCTGAAGCTGAGTGTTTGTTAAATAGTAGACCCTTAGGATACACAAGTAGTGATCCCAACAATCTCCAGCCATTGACCCCAAATCACTTCTTACTTGGAAGAGCGACTGCGGACATTCCACAGGGGCCATATCAAGAGACAAAGAATCTTCACAAGAGATTCGAGTTTGTGCAGATGTTGGTACAACAGTTTTGGAAACGTTTTATCAGAGAATACATGCCAACATTGATGCGGCGTGCAAAGTGGCGCATTCAGGGGAGACAACTGCAGGTTGGTGATGTTGTACTCCTAGTTGACTATAATTCTTCCAGAGGAAAGTGGGATCTTGCCAGGATTGTAGAAGTGTTTCCTGGACATGATGGAGTCGTGCGGAATGTCAAAGTCAAGACTAAGAATGGACAATATCAGCGCTCGATTCAGAAGTGCTGCCTGATCCTTGAACATTATAATTCCTGAGCATGTCAGTTCTTGCCCTGGGAGGATTTGTTGAGAATTTAATTCAGTCTTATTGAATATTCAGTCTTATTGAATAGGAAATGTATACAGTAACAGAAAACCATGACTCAATGGACGTGTATCCACAGCAGTCTCTAGTGCCAGTTTGAAACACTTGATATAAGCATAGCTCATCTTTATTTTCTTAGTCTGCCGCGATAGTGCTGGAATATTGCTGAAAGCGGCGTAAACAAATTCACTCACTATTTTTTAGTTATGTTTATATGTACATGGCACATCATATAATTACGAAAGGCTGTTGAGAATAGTTATTTTATAGTGTATGATAATCTCAACCAGAAGTTTGAACTTTAATGGTTTGTCATAGCAATGACTTCTCCCTTGCAAAGGTATATAATGATGTCTCCCTGCTATGCAGAGCGCGGAGTTTTCATGTAGCCGACAGACGGCATGGTCTACCCTGTATCACTCGCTTATGAGCAATTTGGTGTAAAGACACCACTCTTCAGGTATTTTATTCCATTCTATGTCAAGAAATAAGTTTAATACAGTAAAGTAACAAAAGTTGTGAACATTAAATGTAAATTAATGTAGTTGTAGTGTTAGTTTTACACAGTGTTCTCAGTTTTCGTGCACTTCGATGTGCGAGGTATACCTTCATGTGAGTTTGTTAGTTTCACATTAGCGAAGTAATAATCGTTCATGTTAGAGCAGTGTCTGGTAAGAATTATTCATTATATTTTGCTAGTATTTTCACAAAGAGTTAATTTTGCATATTTTGTGAAAGGTGTAAAGAGCAGTGATAGTATTATGCACCAGTGTCAGTGTCAGACTGTCTAGGTATTATTTTCAGCATTCAGTAATAGTGTGGATGCTTTGGATATTTATGTCAAGTACATGACATAATTGGATAGTTTATAACTTTAAGTATATTTTCATGTTAAATGTGAGGCATGTGTGTTATTAGCAGTTTGACTGTTAATTTCAGAACGCACAAGATATTCATCGAGTCAACTAGTTCTTGCTGTAAGCAAGTATATGATGGTGAATACAGTTGAAGATTACTACACAAATTGCTGACGTGTTTGTCCTCTTTGCCTTATGCTTCGAAAATGAATAAGGTTATGACTATCCTATCCAATATATTCCTTTTGTCCAAAAGCTCACAACAACTATGAGTGAGTGAGTAAGTGAGTTAACATTGCTCACACCGGCAATATTTCAGCCATATCGTGACGAGGACAATTTAATTTATATCAATATTAAAATAAATAAATTTAGAATATAAAAACTGTCATCGAAGGACAGTAAGGCTTCTAGAGTACCACAGCACTTACTTTAAACTAGTACGCTATCATAAAACCAAATATGATCACGTGATTGCTTGCTACTACTTGTCTTATGACAACATTTATAAACGTAATCCGACTTGAAAGACGCAAGTCATCTACCAAGGTACAACAAACAAGTGGCTGGAAAATGTCCGGTCTGGCTGATGTGCTTGAGTGACTTTAAACAATAACCAGTGATAATTACATGTGGCTTGAGATGAGGAAGTGACCTGTATTGGTGTAATGTGTAGTGTCAAAAGAGTTCTGTTTTTTATTAAGTTCTCAAAAGTAGACACGGTCAGAGTGAAATGCGTCATTATAATAATGCGAGAAGAGTACAGACGCATTTTTCACATTAATAAAATGCATTAATTTATGATGCTCCAAGCATGGTCAACTGGTGAAGGAATGTTCATGATTGGTTGTATGATTCTCCTTTTTACACCGCACTCAATATTCCAGCTATATGGCGGCAGTCTGTAAATAATCCAGGATCAACAGCATGAACATCAATCTGCCCCAATTGGGATACGAAGACATGTGTCAACCCAGTCAGCGAGCCTGACAACCAGATCCCGTTAGTCGCCCCTTATGACAAGCATGGGTTATTGAAGATCAATTCTAACCCAGATCTTTACAGGTCCGATTCTGACATGAAGTAACATATGAAATGAAAGAAAGTGAAAAGGAGGGTTAATTGCAAGGTTATGGATGTATCAAATGTAATTAAGAGTTATCTGATAGAACAATTTGAATACCTACAACCAAAGCTTAGACGTAGTTATCGGCCATGAAGCATAGTTTTTTAAACACTTCTGGATAATGTTATTTCATCAAATATTGTGAAGCTTTGATTGACCATATCATTGAAAATTAGCTCTATTATTATACTGTATTAAACATTAGACACCAAATGATTTGTTTGGATTCCATATCAGTACAAATTTAGTCCTCCACTATGTATATATAGTTAAACTACAATGGCGGCCATTTTGGGGGCCATTTTGAATTCTGGGTAATATATAAAAAATCCTAATAATATGCCGTCAATCTAAAAGTAACGAGAAAACAAAATTAAAAAAAATATGTTAACTGCCATTAAATAAATCACCCTCACACATTTCCATGAAAAGTCGGAGAATCGCTAAAATACCCCTGTCTCAAAGAATAAGCTCTAAAACATTAAATTACCACGATATGACCATACAAAATGACTTGTTGTGTGCCCAAGCCCTCACTCTAGGAGAAACAAGTGTAAAAAAACATCAAAAGTATCAACTTTGGATGTAAATGGAAACATTCGGTGTTCATTTTTATGTAAATTTAAGTGCTGAGAAGGCAAAACACGACAAAACAAAATGGCGGCCATTTTGATTTTTGTTTTCAAAACAAAATTATGTCAAATAATTTCTACATCCCTTAGCCGTACACAGAAGTCAAAATGAAAGTGATCAGATTGATAGTAGTAAAACTATTAATGATTACCTTTGAGGTGTTGTCGGTCAGCAAACCAAACGTGACGAAAATGCTCGCAGACCCCCACCACATATAATGGCCTGTAAAAAAACCTGATACCACAATCTGAGAGTATTACAGGCCTTTTCAAGAGCCCAAGACATCATACTAACTGAAAATAGTATCAAACAAAATCAGTACTGGGGAGGATACGAAATCTTATTTCCAGGCCCCTTTTGAGATTCTCCTCCTGGACTATTGGGTAATTACAGCACACAACATGTCAAGATCATGTGATAAAAAGTGGGCCACAAGTGACATTTTCACTAATCCAAAATGGATATTGTGATCCGGCCCGCCATCTGAAATCATCACTTCAATAGGAAGGGATTGCCTTCTCTAGTTCTACCATATGTCTCAGAACTGATGAAGTTCAAAGACTACATCTTTGATGCACACATGTACCTGCCCTCTGTAAAAACTACTTTCTTCTGCTTCAGGTATTTCACACTGTAGGCGTACTGATGGAACAATTTAAAAACAATGTAAGTCATGATCAAGAGCAACTGACTATCTGTTTTTGTACATCAAGACTCTCTTTCCTCTGTCAAGCGAGGCAATTGGTTCCTCAGGTTCACCAACGCTAATTCCATGTTTGTCATCCATGTAGATGAGCATTGCATCAAATTGATGCATAACTGCAAATGTATTTGTATATTTGATGTTTGCCATACAGTAGTGAGTATCTTCATGGTGTTTGTGCAAACTTCTTGGTTGTACTTTGTACTTTATGTCAAAACGTCCAGTATAGGACATAGCTGCATGTGAGGTTTCACCCTTCGGCCAAAACTGAAATCTCACCCATGTTTCAGAGGGAACTGGAATGCCCGGTTCAATTTCCTTGACTCTGTTTATCAAATCTGGCACAAAACTTGCTACAGGCAAATGGCCATGTATATCATGTCTTCGTTCTTCTGCTGCCGGTGAAAATTCAACAATCAGTACTTTTTCCATTGCTTCCCAGAACTTCCCATTCTTCACTGGTTGCCCTTTGTTGTGGTCGACCGCGTCCGTGGTGTAGTGGTCAGAGCGTCCGTATGAGCGAAATATTCTCAAGCACGACGTTAAACCAATTTCACCTCACATCACCTTTGTTATGGTCACGAAGATCTACAACAAGCTGTCAATAGCTTGGCTTAAAACATTTGAGGGTTTTGTTTGATCATTTGTGAGGAAGGAATACATGGCTCTGAAAGCATATGTTGGAATATTTGCCCAGTTCGCAAAATGATGCTGAATTTCAAGTTTCATGGTCCGGGTATGATACCATGGAATCTTCTTTTCTTGCAATTTTCTGAGTTAATTTAGAGAACATATTATCATATCTTTCCAAAGTTGTATCTGGGAGTCTCCAAACAAAAACAAAGGTACACTTCCCACCAAAAGGTGAGTACTTAAACAACACCACTGATACACGATACAGATAGTCCTTCATCTTGTAATCTTAGGTTTCAAAAAGGTATGATTTTTGTACTGTGATATCAGCAATTACTCACAATTCATATCTTTTGAATAAAATGAAACATAACAAAGTTTAAAATACATATCATTAACTCTGTACCACAGTTTGTATCACATGCAAATATATAGGAAGCAACCATCACCTGAGATGGATATATTTATGAAATATCTTACAATTGACCTCAAGTTCAATTCTGTGAAGAAATACAATAAAATCACATCTCAAATATATGATGGGATTTCCTAATTGGAGAATATTTCATTAATTTACCTTCAGCACACAATAGCAAATGTGTCATTCATCATTTTCAGAGATTACCAGTACACAATAAAAAAATATTGTGGAAAAAGTATTGATCGAAAACAGAACAATTCACGGAAATACCTTTAAAAGTCACTGTTGATACTAAAAGTTACCAAAACTACCATTCAATATTTAAATATGAATGTATACTCACCAAATGCATTGGGGATCACAGTAAAGACAATACAATTTGCCCCTTGCAACTCCAACAATCTGAGAGGCTGGTGGAGCAGCGATTCCACCGGTTCTGATGATGTGAATGGTCCTTTAGTTAACAACTGAACCTTGACTCTCTGGTCGGCAAACATATCCCCACACTCCTTCCTCAGAAGTTGTTCAAATGTCGATTCAGCATTTACGCCAACAGCCATCAAGGCTGGTCGTATGATCTTTCCATCCCATTCTCTTTCTTCCAACTTACACGACATTGAGTTTGCCCCCATATTGCACGTGAGTATATATCTGTGATAATCTAGTTGGTTTTACTGTCCTTCGCCGGCAGGTTTTTATAATTTATATGGATTTACGGTGAATTCACAACTTGTGTATAGTGACGATATGGCTGAAATATTGCCGATGTGACTTAAAATCTTAACTCACTCACTCTTTGCACGTGAATCGCAAACACCTCACATTGCCGGATCGTAAATAACTGTGGATGCGAATCCTAAATCTCGACAGGGAGTAAAGAAGCCTGGTTCGGAGCGTTAATAGCGCAGGCGCAACAGACCGAGGGAACCAAGCTGGAGTTCGCTGACGATTCGGTTTTTGTTTTCGTTTTTCAGTGAAATTTAATACATTTGAAACTCAATTTTCATTTTTCTTGTGGTGAAGCATATTTTTTTCAATGGGCGATGTACAACTGAGAATGGTCGGTGGAAAGTTTAGAAATAAAAAACCAAAAATTTATTGTATGGGCGGAAGGGATTTTTACGGGCGGCGGAGATGAGAAAAACACAATTAAATACGGACGCCCTAATGCCCATACACGCCGGACAAAATACAGTTGTAGACTTCAGAAAATATCAGAACGCTCTTGTAACGTAAGGCCACAAAGGGGTAAGTTGTGTCCGTCCTTTCATAATGGTTGATCACTGGAGGACACAATACACCCAGAGTGCAAAAGGGTGCAGTTTGGGGGAGCCTTTACATTATGCGTAAGTTCGTGGTGGGTTCCACAAGGCAGCGCTTCCTACAAAGAGTCCTATTCGCTGTTCGTCTGCCTGTAAAGGGCACAGGTGCCCTGAGCTCATGGATAACCTGAACAGCCTGACTGTGCTAAAAATCACCCGACCACCCATGTTATATATAATTGTGGTAACATCTGATAAGACCGTAAAGCATCGGGAGTGTATTAAAAAAGGCAAGTTTTTCCTGGTTAAGTATGTTCACGCAGCTGACTTTGTATCCTCACATTGAACGTGTCTGGATATTGGTACGCGTCAAAACTAACATAGTGTTGACTCTTTCTATAAATCTACACAAATTCAGTTCGTTGTAAAATCAACAACAAATCGATACATTGCTTGCGCACATTTTAATTTGGACGTATCTGAACAGCAAAAAAACATGGAAGAATTGGAAACAAATTTTCTCCTTATTTACCATATGCACTTCTTTCAAGTTGAAAATGGCCATGTTTTGAAATGATCCTTTGAAATAATAAACATGTCACACTTCCTCTGCCTAATTTCTGCAACGAGTTCGGTTCACGTTTTGTTTACTAGTTCAACGGTTTAGGTTTTTTGAAATGTTTTGTCAGGTTAAAAGGTATGCTCTTGGGTTTCTCAAATCCCGCATACCAATTGCCGTCTTCATACGCCACCGGAAGCCATTGATTTATGGAAGAGGAATACACTTGAACTCGAGTGTATCTCGTGTACTGACGCTGCTGTTCCACTTCCAACTGAGATGAGAAGAAAACCCATACTGACATGAACTATCATCCTCGACATTACATACATAATGGTAGAGGAAAATAAAACCGATTTTTAAATATTTCAGGAAGAAATTCCGTTTGGTGCAAACGACAAAACAGTTGTGAAAATCATATAATATTTTATTAAGGTATTTATAGCCAGGCTGGTTGGTTGTTGTGTAACGCCGTACTCAGCAATATTCCAGCTATATGGCGGCGGTCTGTAAATAATTGAGTCTGGACCCAGACAATCCAGTGATCAACAGCATGAACATGATCAATGCATTTGGGATACAATGACATGTGTCAAACAAGTCAGTGAGCTGGACCATTCCATCCAGTAAACCGACTCTTACGACAAGCATGGGTTGCTGAAGAGCAATTCTAAACCGGAACTTAACAGTTATATACAGTGTAATGTCATTCCTACTCACCTTAACACAAAACCAGGGCATAGCTAAGGCCCAATATTTCTCCATTCGTATTTCCATTTTTCTTATCATTCCCACATCTTTGTGTCTGAAGAACTGAGAGTACAAATATATGTAGAGTTATGAACAAACTGTGGATTGTGAAAGCAGGGTCTTCAAATACTTTAGTGTGTGTTTTATATTTAAATATTCCCACTACATCTGATTAGTAGATATGAAACGAAGGAAAACACGTTACTTTAGCTGGAATTCGCCGAGTTAAGCAAAGTGCAATCAAAGCTTGGCAGAACAAAAGCGACAGCTTGCAGTTAATGTGGTAATGAATGTAAGACATAAAAAGAGAAGTTGTTACTGACCCTAACTTTTCCATACAAAAAGTACCTCAAACACACGCAATACCTCAAATGTTAATTTAGTATATCACATGACTCCTTCGTGTATAAGGTGTAAGTTGCCATGCTTTGACGTCATGGCGCAGAGGGTACATCAAGCACTACAAAAATGACTTGGTTTCCTGAAAACTGGAAACCATCCGTAAACTGGGTCATTTGGGAATCCAGTTGGTTTCCATTCACTGAAACTGAGTAACTGAGTTTCCAACTAGATTCCATTGTGGATTCTTTGATTTTTGCATTTCTGTAAATGGAAACCAAAAAGAAACTAAAGTTAGAGGTTTCTTGTTGGTTTCCATTCCTGGAATTTGCAATTGAAGTTTCATTAAATGGAAACCAACATAAAACCAGAATATGTAGTTTCCTGTGCACTGTTTTGAACTGAGTAACTTAAAATTTGCAAGTATTTGGCATGAAGTTGACCATCCTGGCATTTCATATGATGGGGAATTTTGAAAATCTAAATAGATGGATGATATTCTACGATGAGTAACAATTTTCAATGTAGTAATGAAAAATCTTAAACGTAAAAAAAGTGAAATTTGAGGGGAAAATCGGTTTAATTATGTTTGCTTTAGAATGTGAAAGAGTATAAGCATTTAGGAAGTTTAGTATAATGTAATTCAAACAATTGTCAATCCGGTACATACATTACGGATTTCTCAATCACTAGAATATCAGGGAATTGTACTATGAATAGAGGTTGTGAGTAATGTTTATCATTAAAAACATTTAAAGTTAGTATGCTTTGACAGTGACTTCAAGTACTTGACAAATAATCACTGTCATGTCATTTGTATGCCGGGGTCTGTGTGTCGGCTTCCTTGGGGTTGTCTCGTCTTAACGGGCACCTATTATCAAAATTAAATTGCTGTAGAAGTAATGAGTCGATAATCCGTGGGCACGCGCGAACTCGTGACATTTTATAAAAGCAATGGTTTTATGTACTGAAGTGGTCATTTTCGTCTTTTATGTCTTAATCACAACAAAATTGGGTCAGATAATGTTTTCGTACCTGCCAATCGAAAAGGGATTAGGTATTTGTTATTACCCACAATGCCCCTACACACAATTGCCGCTATTTTGTCATTTGATCTCATGAAAGTTGTTTTGAAAGTGGGCCAAAGTGTCTCACGTTATTAACACAACAAGGAACCCAGCACAATGAATTATTCCTTCGCTTGTCCATGTTATCTAAATCAAGAAAATGGCAATGCGAGTTACACTAGAAGCTTTGGAGGCTCGGGTGCGTGAAAACTTGAAGACAGGAGAAGTCGTCGATCGCGGAGGGAGAAAGGGAACATTCCACGACCATGTCAGGTACAGTGTAAATGTCTTGAATTAAGCAAATAGCTCATGTTATGTGTAACGTTTAATGTGCATAAGTAGCTAGGACAATAAATATGAAATTAAAATTTGAGACTTGATGGAACTTTATAAGCAATTGCGTGTCTTGTTCGCAAGAGATATGGCTTCCTTTACTTAGTCCACTCAAGAACTCGATTGTGATTTGGATCAGGTCACATACGACTAAATGGTTCATTATCGTAATGTATGAAATAGTATCTTTGCAAGAACAATATGAACCACAAATATATCCAGCAATGTCACGACTCAAGATAACTTCCAAATGTATTTAGAAGTACTCGAATATTATTGCAAGAAATCCAATGATTAGAAGTTCTATTTTAAAGTTTGTTATTGAGAATTGCTTTTTTATATTTGTACCCCTGAAAACAATACAGTGGGGGATAGTGAGTCATTTTGCAATTATAGGAATTCTCTTACCAGATTTGGTGCATGGTTAGAGTGAAGTTTCAAAATTCTTTGTCTAGTTATTAGAGTTACAAGACAGCCTATGTCGAAAAAAAATTCGACAATACTTTTCAGCCAACTTTTAAGACGATATTTATCATGATGCTATAATGCTGTTGAGTGGATAAATTGTCAACACAATATTTTTGGAAACTGTTTTGTAAAATGTTTTCAAGTCAGTATAGGATAGATTACTGATGTATGAGGTAATTTAAGCTAATCATCTGATGTAAACAATTTTACACTTAGAATGTCAAGATATTTAACTCTGAATGAAGAGATGTGGATTTGTTAGATCCACAAAAGAAGTTTGTAAAGAAGGTTGGATATATAGAACGTTTAATAGCATATGTTGGGGATACATTGATGTACATTGCCAACCTAAATTTATATGAACTTGTTAATTTAGCTTCTTTTGTTATCATCATATCTACACCTTGCAAATCGATATTTATTCTTCTATTTTCATGCCTTATTTTTATCAAGAGTACAATATCACTCAGAAAGTTCCTGATATTTCCCTTAATTTCTTCATTTCCAGCATTCCATTGGGGCAGTGTTGGAAAAACTGAAGATGACTAACTGATCTTGACCTGCAACAGGTATGTGTAATCTAAACCCTTCAGTAAATGATGTGCATAAAATTATCCAAATAATGTAAATTCTATGAATCAGAAAAATACTTAAAATTTACACAACCACTATTTTCGTAACTGCCAACTGGAAATATTTTCCACTTATACACATCTCCTTTCAGAAGCAGTTTCGCGGTTTTGGACGAACAATAGGGTTCGTTCACCTAGAAGACAAAGAAGTGGGAAAGCAGAGGCCTTTGTCCGCAAAGAACAACAAAAGATTCAGACCTGTAAGTAAATTCTAATCGTTCTCAATTCGAATGTTACACAGGTTAAAATTTAAGGAAAACCTTATTTGAAAAAAAATCAAGTTAATGTAATTTCTTGAAAATGTACACTGATATTCCAAAGAACTTTCAAAATAAACACTGTTTAATACGTGCAATGTATAATTAGAAATATGCAGCTAAAAGAGTTATAAATAGTTCATAGTAAAGCGCCAATGTACATTATGTTTTGGTCTGGACATATTTCACCTTGCACATCAATTAATAATTAAAAATAGTAGCTGCAAACACATTGTCAATAGCAGTATGAGATATTAGTTATGGAGGTCCGCCTATGACCCCATTCAATTTCTTGTCTCCCAGAATGACCCCACATTATTTTTTAAACCCCAAAATTTCCTTTCACTTTATTTTCAAAATAATGGATAATTCGTAGTTATATACATATCATATCAAAGTATAATGTATGTAACATTCAGAAAATAAGTTATAGCTTTCACATGAGAATTTCTCGAAAAAATAGGCAATGATAGTATGAATTTTGTGTGCATTCCTAAGAGATGTTATTAATTCAATGTCAATGTTTTCTAAAAGTCACAACTGTTATTTAGTGAAAGAAAATCCTTTTTTGTCAGTCATCAAATGTCCAACCCAAGCTAAGGAAATATGTCCTTCTCTCGCTTGTCTCTCTACTCTTACAACGTTCTTCTACGATTGAAACTTTTATCACTTTTCAGGTCAAATGATCAGTTTTGATTTATTGAACTTCGTGCTTATTGGACAGTGGTTACAGTTTATTTTTCCTCAAGCTTAAGGAACAATGGACAGTTTCCCTTCCTCCAGCAAGCGATATTGTTGACGAATGCTTGTTTGTACTGATTGTTTATTGTTTATTGATTGACTGGCCGGAGAGGAAGCAGAAAGTTCTTCCTCTCTTGGGGAAGGGGTTTACATTTCTCAAATTGGAAAACCAAATAATATTGGTTCATCTACATTGATGAGTTTAGGAAAACATTCCATACTCACTGATATTTATTCCCTTATTGCATTTAATTATTCATGCATTTTGAAAAATCCAGTTTTTATTAATGTGAACATACCAAATATCATTTGTTTATCAGCAAATTGTTGAATGTAAATAAACCTATCATGACTTTCTGTTTTATTTTGTTATTTGTCATCCTGACGGTTTAACCATTGTGCAGTTGTATAAATTACCTGATTTGGTATGTGTGTTGCATGAAACACAACCTCTTTTCTGGAGGAGCGGGTAAGGGGCCGGCACAACAGATTCAGTTTCATGGAAACCAGGTTATAAGCTGGGAACTAGGTTGGAAACAACAATAAACTAAGCACCAGCAGAAGCCTCCATGGACGAGTGGGTAAAGTCCCGACATGGATACCATCCAGATACTGGTGAAAAATGTAGTTTCAGTTTTAATGGAAACTAGGGTATAACTTTGAAACTAGGTTGAAACCTACAACAAACTAAAACATGGAAACCAGGTTGAAACCTACAACAAACTAAAACATGGAAACCAGGTTGAAACCTACAATAAACGGAAACATGGAAACCAGGTTGAAACCTACAATAAACGGAAACATGGAAACCAGATTGAAACCTACAATAAACTAAAACATGGAAACCAGGTTGAAACCTACAACAAACTAAAACATGGAAACCAGGTTGAAACCTACAACAAACTAAAACATTGAAACCAGATTGAAACCTACAATAAACGGAAACATGGAAACCAGATTGAAACCTACAATAAACGAAAAAAAACGGAAACCAGGTTAAAACCTACAATAAACGAAAAAACGGAAACCAGCTGGATCCGGCTTGGAGGAGTGGGTAAAGAAACGCACTGGAAACCAGCCGGAAATGGTGCACAATTCAGTTTCAGTTTTCATGGAAACCACAATGAAACTTTTGGAAACTACATGGAAACCAACTGGGAATGGAGGTTTCCATGTCGTTTCTTCTCAGTTTCAGTGTTCCGGAAACCAACTTATTTTTGTAGTGAAGATTATGTGCACAGGATAAACTACACAATGCCATTTAAGAAAGTGGTCAAATGTAACATATGTTATATTTGGGATTACACTTTCTTAGTAAAGTACAGATTCTAGTACTTTCTTGGCGTTGAGTCCCATCCGGGATTCGAGCCCACACCCTCAGAGTCAGGCACCTAATCGCCAGCACACAAAGTCAGACGTCTAGCCACCGCGGCTTCCACAAAAATGGAAGTCGGACAACTGGTAGTCTAGACTGCGGACTTTGTGGGTTCGAATCCCTGATGGTACTCAACTCCCCCAAAGTACTAGAATCTGTACTTTACTGAGAAAGTGTAATCCCAAATATAGCATATGTTTTATACATGTATGTGCACAGGATCTACGTTACGTCACATTTTTAACCAGTGTGTCGTCATTTGTAACACTGGTGTCCCCCGCCGTGATATTGCTTGAATATTGCTAAAAGCGGCGTAAAACTAAACTCAGTCAGTCAGTCAGTCATTTGTAACATTGTTAAAAGACAATATCAATGTTGATTAGCTTTTCATCTTAAATCTACTTGGTTTGGCGCAAATTGAATGTCATGTCAACAGGCAGCTGGTTCACATAAATTCAAGTTCCTCAACCCAAGAACAGCTTCTCTATGGCAACATGTAGACGCAAAATTCTAAAGTCGATTAAAAACACAACAAAATTTCGAATTACCAACTTACATGAAACGTATCGACTTGTCCTTTTGTCATTTCCGAACCTGCATGATTCAGATACAGCTCATCAGAATCGTTGACACCGTACAGTGTGAGATACACATAGCATTTAGTGCCACCGTGTGTAGCTTTCCCAGTCTCTGTCTGAACCTTATACTCCACGGATACAGCCCCTTGAACACACAATTCAATATTGCAAATACTGCAGTGTTATTCCTGATCAAGGTTTAGTTTGGTTTGGTGGTTGTTTTACGCCTCATTCAGCAATATTCCAGCTATATGGCGGCGATTTGGGAATAATCGACTCTGGACCAGACAAGCCAGTGATCAGCCATCATGAGCATCGATCTACAGAATTGGGATACGATCACTTGGTCAACCAAGTCAGCGAGTCTGACCACCCGATCCCTCAAGTCACCTCTTACGACAGCAATGGGTTACTTAAGATCAATTCTTACCGGGATCTTCAATGGTTATAAGGGAACATAATTATAGTACAAATTGTCCCATATTCCTTTCCGGGTGTCTTTTTCGTATGCTTTGTATTGAACTGGTGGTGGCAATCATAATGGATAGCCTAACGATTCGATTTCATCAGAATATTAACGATTCCATGACTTGAGCACTAAAACATACATTTTAGAGGGAAAGTTGCATTGCATGTTATTGAAAAGGGCGAGCGGTTCCGTAAGATTAATACTGCTCAGTGGGGCGTAAAACTAGACTCACTCACTCACTGAATGATTGTGTTATAACTTTCGTACTTATTCATGTTTATACACATACTTGCTTCAGGCGGGACAATGGGCATATCTGTGATCTGAATGTCCTTGGAAGTCGTTGTCTTTCTGACTTTAGTTTGCTTGGAAACGGATCCTTGTGTTTTATGTTCCTTGTTGGAAGAACCAGACTCTTGTGTGTATGGTGCTGATTTGTCATTATCGTTTGTGGAAGATGAAGATTTGTCGGTATCCTGTGTGATTGGCGTGGATTTATCAATATCCTGTTTGGTTGGTGAAGATTTGTTGATATCCTGTGTGGGTGGAGGGGATTTGTTGTCGTCCTGTTTGGTTGGTGGAGATTTGTTGCTATCCTGTTTGGTGGGTGGAGATTGGACAATATCATGTTTGCTTGGTACAGATTTGTCAATATCATGTTTCGTTGGTGATGATTTGTCAATATCCTGTTTGGTTGGTGGAAATTGGTCAATATCCTGTTTGTTTGGTAGAGATTTGTCAATCTCATGTTTGCTTGGTACAGATTCGTCAATATCCTGATTGGTTGATCGAGACTTGTCCATATCCTGTTTGGTTGGTTGAGATTTGTTGATATCCTGTTCAGGTGGTTGAGATTGGTCGATATCATGTTTGGTTGGTGGAGATTTGTCGGTATCCTGTTTGGTTGGTGGAGATTTGTAGATATCCTGTTTAGTTGGTGGAGATTGATCGATATCTTGCTTCGTGAGTACAGATTTGTCAATATCCTGTTTGGTTGGTGGAGATTTGTTGATATCATTTTTGGTTTGTGGAGATTTGTTGATATCCTGTACAGTTGGTGGAGATTGGTCGATATCTTGCTTGGTTGGCACAGATTTGTCAATATCCTGTTTGATTGGTGGAGATTTGTCGATATCCTGTTCGGTTGGTGGAGATTTGTTGATATCATTTTTGGTTTGTGGAGATTTGTTGATATCCTGTACAGTTGGTGGAGATTGGTCGATATCCTGTTCGGTTGGTGGAGATTTGTTGATATCATTTTTGTTTCGTGGAGATTCGTTGATATCCTGTTTGGTTGGTGGAGACATCTCAATTTCGCGTGGATGCAAAACGCTCGTGTCACTACTGTACCTTCTACCCTTGCCATTTACTGTTGATAAAAGACACAGCAAATACATTATTTACCAAGCAAACCAGATGTTTCACAGCCTTACACATTTAAAGTCAAGTGTGGTCGACTATCCAAAGGTCATGTGCAAAGATAATAATACAAAATGAAGATAAAGATAAGATCGTCAATTAGCATTTTCATCAGATATCATCTGATTTGACGTACATCTGATCATAATATATATGTTTACATTAGAATCAAAGTGTTGACTTGTGATGTTTCAGGATTGCAGAACGTATCATATCTAACGTGGGTGAGTTTTCACCTTTTAGCAGATAATCACATATCAACTTACCACATTTAAGAACATAATCGTCGGCGTGAAGTTGCCATCCATTCAGCACTTCCTTAACAACTTCTTCTTTCGTTCCATCATCGTCGTAACGGACGCACTTTGAACACTTAGGATCACGGGCGCACTCCGCAAAACAGCGAATTCTTGAGGATGACAGGACAAGGACGACCCTGTCGTTGTCCTCAGCCCTCGCTGGCCTAATAGTCTTTCCGTAACTTATCAGAATACCATCGTTTAATTGCGCGATTACTGTGATACGACACAGCAGCAAACACTGACAGAAAACACACAAGATGCCGTTGAACATCATCGTCTCTGACACACCAATGCAGCAATGACTATACTCTGAGAAAGAACGTCTTATGTGTATTTTTACCTTACTTACTTTTGTTGAGACTAGCCGAGGTCTTTTGTATAATGTATGATCAACTGAAAAATACCTGTAACCTTATCAATTCTCCTCAAGAAACATCTTACTTAGTCTTTGAAATATCATACAACTATGAATAATTTGTTTGTTTCTGACTCTTAATTTAATAAATGCCATTATGTTAATAACATTCCATTATCATCAAGCTGTGAAGTAGATACAATTATACATGTATCTGCGGGAAACAGCACTTAGAGTACCTCGTACAGAACTAAAATGTGGTTTTTCTGCGTGTTTAATTTTCACTAGACGAAAAACAAGTTAATAATAGTTTAGGCTTCTTTCCCACATACATATTTCATCAGTTTGGATATACAAAATTTCTTAAGCTTCTTAAGCATGTTGTATGCTTTAAACATAATGATTGGTATGAAATATCGGTATCATTTCTAGGGGTCATAAAAGAAGAAGATGCAATTTCTGGTCGAATACTATTTGGTATATACAGAATATTCTCAGGTTATTCAGAGTGAGACATATAAAGACAAAGTGAATTTCATTCACTAGACATATTGTACATAGCTATCAGTTGCATGTTCATCGGCCCGTTTTGGAGCTTGAGCTCTGTTGCTTGTCATAACTGTCCTTTTTGTTATTACCACTGCTAATATTGCCATTGTAAGTATACTGCCCTTCAGTTCGTATTTATCCGAGAAGATCAGGGTTAGGCTTGATCTTCAGAAACCCGTGCTTGTTGTGAGAAGCGACTAACGGTATCAAGTGGTCACTTTCGCTGACTGGGATGGCCTAAAAGTCGGGCCAGGCAGGGCCAAGGAGGGCCAAATCTATTATTGGCTAATAAACCCATTAACAAAAACCATGCCTACAATTAATCAATGCAACATCCACTCATGATAATAATGATCAATCGGAAGCCACAAACGCGTACCATAATAACTTTATTACGAGTAAATCGGCTAAAACCCAGGAAGAACTGGCTGACCGAGGTTACGTATAAAAGTGGAATCGTTAAACGAAACGGGATTTAATACGTATAAATACTTCAGCCAATTCCGATACACATTTCCGTCGGCCCGAAAATGATTTCACATCTATATCCAATCACATACCACTCCATAAATTCACTATTCATCGTATTTAAAGCATGCCCACATTTAAATGATACGATCTCTTCCCCAAACTCTCAACATTATCTCGGCCACAATTTTCCGCCCGGCTTGGCTCGAGCCGTCAAAAGCAGCTTAAACGTAACACACGTATCTTGAAATGTGTTTAATTCCATAGACTGGTATGATATCTCCCTAAATATCGCTTTGTAATGTTATAAAATGCAACATGTAAAGAAAACTGCTCCGTTAAAGTGAAGCCCTTGTCTCACATTTTTCAACATAGCCTCAATCAAAAGTGTTTGGTCTCTGTTCAGCCAGACTTGGCCCGTGCTGTCAAAAACAACTTAAACATCACACATGTATCCTGATTTGTGTTTATATCCATAGATAAGTGTTATATCTTCCTACATATCACTTCACAGAGTCTCAAAGCGTAGTTTTTGAAATAGAAACGTTGCTGAAAGTGAAGCTCTCTTTTCTACATATTCTCAACAAACAGTATCACAAGCGTTCAGTACGCCTTGGCCCGGGCTCTCAAAAACAACTTAAACCCCACACATGTATTCTGATTTGTGTTTAATTCCATAGATTAGTATTATATCTACCTACATTTCACTTCACAGAGTCTCAAAGCGTAGTATTTGAAGCAAACACCTTGCTCAAAGTGAAGCCCTATTTCTATACATTCTCAACAAAGACACAGTATCAAAAGCTTTAAGAATAAAAGCGAAAGAATAAAATTCAAAACGCTGTCTCTTGTATATTCAGCACTAAACTGTTCATCACCCTCCTACATGCAAGATCCTATAACACCCTACACTCCAGCGCGGTCTCTCAGATCTCAAGACAAAGGTCTTCTCAGTGTCCCAAAATACAAGTTGCAATCTTTTGGTGGCAGATCTTTCAGCGTTCACTCAGCTTCCCTCTGGAACTCACTACCTCTCCATGTCAAGTCATCTCCTTCCATCTCCATCTTTAAATCAAAACTCAAAACATTCTTGTTCAAGCACAACTAAATCTTATAAAACTTTTTCCTGTATATAGTGTACATATTTACTGTTGCGCAAAGAGCATGCCCTTGAGGTGTGGAGTTGCTACTATACTGCGCTCTACAAATGTCCATATTATTATTATTAAAAGCTTTCGGTCCGGCTTGGCCCGGGCGCTCAAACGCCCCTTATACCTCACAGATGTATCTTGAAATGTGTTTAAATCCATAGAGATTTGATGGTACAGTTAAAAGCTATTTACGCAGTGTAAATCAAATATAGTTTGCAACAACCACAAAAGTAGCGGATGATTAAGCCTATTTTCAGTGTACCATGGTTTCCCTTTTGGTTTTTGTGTCAACCATATGTTATCGATTTTATTCGTTTGATTAGTTTGTCATAGATACCTGTGGTGAGACAGACTTTGATCACGTTTTTGCAAACATCCGTTACCATAGCTATTTCACAGCAAGTCATATGTCTGCAAATTTGGTAGTTGCGAATGAGATTACATTCAGTCATTGAAGACAGCGGTGTTTATCCACAGTTATCTAGAATATCTATGATAAACATTAGCCACGTATGTTGTGAATGGAGAGAGAAAAGGGCTTGACTAGTTATCTTTACATGTAGCATTTTGTAACATCACACATTGATATTTAGGTAGATATAATACTAATCTATGGAATTAAACACAAATCAGGACATATGTGTGGGGTTTAATTTGTTTTTGAGATCCCGGGCCAAACCGGACCGAAAGCATGACTGTGATACTGTGATACTGTGTGGCTGTTGAGAATGTATAGAAAAATAGGGCTTCACTTTAAGCAACGTGTTTGCTTCAAATACAACGCTTTGAGACTCTATAAAGACGTACTTAGGTAGATATAACTCTATTCTAGAGATATAGACAGAAATCAGGCTACATGTGTGAGGTTTAAGGTGTTTTGACAGCACGGGCCAAGTCGGGCTGAACAGAGACTAAACACTTTTGATTGAGACTATATTGTGAATGGAGAGAGGAAAGGGTTATCTCCCATTTGACAGACACCCATTTGATAGACACCCAATTGACAGACACTGAACTAGAAGGTTGATTAGGGTAACACCTACGGGTATAATAGAACAGCCCACTGTCCAGTGAGTAGAGCAGGGTGAGCCTGAAACAGGTTTGTTACTGAGAAGTTTGATTGTGGGTAAATAGCTAGAACTTTGTTATGATTAAATGATAAATAATTTCTCTTCTCAAAATTGATTTTACTATCAATTACTATCGAATATAAAAACAGGTTTGTCACTGAGAGATTTGATTGTGTTTATTAATAGAAAAGAACCCTCCCAATAATAGCATATGTACAACCGAAGTTAACTGAGAAAAATTTTGTTGAAGAGATATAGATATGTATATATTTAAAAACATTCTGATTTGCAGTAAATGAGACACCTGTATTGCCATGTAAGATACGATTAATACCAATCAGTGTTCTAATTTCAACAATACTTTCTAAAGATTGTAACAGTTTATGTCTTTGAGTAGTATACAATGGACATTCAAGGAAGTAATGAAAAACATTCTCACATCCATGGCCACTATTGACATGATGCGTCATATTTTAAATATTTATTCTAAATAAATCGTAATTAAGTGCACTCGTCATATATCTTAATATTGTGTGCAAAACACATAACTTCTTTATTCCATATCAATAATATTTAGGTTCACATTTGTCTTCATTTGATTTATATGATGCAACAGTGTCGCAATTTCTTATAGCTAAGCTAATGTTTTCAATATGATGATGCCGACTCCCGTTAGACCGAAATGTTTATGAAAATAAACTGTTTTTATATTGCAGCAATAAAACTTCAAATTACTTTTCGTCCATCTTTCAAAATAAATAATATAGCTTCAGTTTGTTCCTGTGTTTTGATTTGGACTATTCCATTATAATGTGTAGGTAACAGGTACTAGATAATCTATTCACTGAACCGTAAATGTTGTTGTTTTAAGGTGTCTGCGAACTGGCTGTCTGCGTAATGGGAGGACACCGAGGAAAGGGCTTCACTTTAATGAACCAGTTATTTTTACATGTGGCATTTTGTAACATCATACATTGATATTTAGGTAGATAT